CACCATGGGGGGGTCACTGACCACTTTCCCACCCTTCCAGCTCCACCAGCAGCAGCAGCAGGGCCCCGGGCCCCAGGCCGTGGGGGTGTGGGTGGCTGCAGGGGCACCCAAGCCGCCCTCTGTGACCACAGGTGAGCACTACACTGGGTGGGGGTCCCGGGGACACATGCTGGTCCATGTCCCCCACAGGGCTGAGCCCAGAGACAGGCCAGCTGGGAGTGGTTCTGAGAGGTGGGGGCTGCGGGGCTGGGGTGGTTGTGACTCCCCCTGCTGCACCCCAGGCTCGGCTGCCAGGGCCTCGCAGGCTCAGCACCGGGAGATGCCGCTGGGTGGCTGGGCTGAGGAGGAGGAAGAGGAAGAGGAGGAGGAAGAGGAGACCACGAGCTAACCGGCCTCGGCTTTGGTGGGTGAGGACACAGCCCAGCCAGGCAGCCCTGGCCTGGGGAGGGTCAGTGACCACCAAGGCTGGGGCCAGGTGTTGGCTGGCTGGCACATGTGCTGGCATCTCTGTTGTCAGGGTCCCCACTCCCACGGGAGTTTCTGCTGATGGACCTGTTTCCTCTGCAGGGTCCTGGGCATGCTGAGAGCTCCCAGTGCTGCCGGGCACGGTGCCAGCAGAGCTGCCAAGAGGGCTGGCTGGTACTGGGCACAGCGGGGAGGTTCGCTGCTGCCTGCCATGCTGCCGGGGGGGCCGGAGCTCACAGTGTTCTGGCCGGCCTTGCCCACACGGGCACCTTGCTCTGGCATGGGGCCTTGCTGGTGGCCCTGCTGCAGCGCGGGGCCGGGGATGCTGACAGGGGCAGCCAGCCCCGCAAGGTGCTATATTTATGGGGGGGCATGGGGTGCCCCTTTGTGGGGCTGGTGCCGTCCCTGCTCCTGCTGCCTGCCCATGCCTCTGCCCCCCATGGTGCCCTGCAGTGGGTACCGGCCGCACCGAGCCGCCACGGGAAATAAAAAGTTTACAGACAGGCTGTGCTCAGCAGTGGCTGCACCTCAGAGCTGGTGGGGGGGTGGGGGGCTATGCCGTGAGTGTGTGGGGCTGTGCAGGGGATGCCGTGGGGGTGTGATGCCATGGTGGTTTGGGAGTATGCTGGGCAGACAGTGGTGCTGGTGCAGTGCTGCTCACCTGCAACCACGCAGGTCATGCAGAATCACAGAATCATTTCAGTTGGAAAAGAGCTTGAAGATCATCCAGTCCAACCATTAACCTCACACTGACCATTCTCAACTCCACCAGATCCCTCAGCGCTGGGTCAGCACAACTCTTCAACCCCTCCAGGGATGGGGACTCCACCCCTGCCCTGGGCAGCCCATTCCAACCCCTTCTACAAAGAAATGCTTCCTAAGAGCCAGTCTAAACCTTCCCTGGTGCAGCTTGTGGCCATTCCCTCTTGTTGTGTCACTTGTTCCTTGGTTCAAGAGACTCATCCCCCCTCTCTGCACCCTCCTTTCAGGGAGCTGTAGAGGGCGATGAGGTCTCCCCTCAGCCTCCTCTTCTCCAGACTAAACCCCCCCAGTTCCCTCAGCCGCTCCCCATCAGACCTGTGCTCCAGACCCTGCACCAGCTCCGTTGCCCTTCTCTGGACATGCTCGAGTCATTCAATGTCCTTTTTGTAGTGAGGGGCCAAAAACTGAACACAGGAATCGAGGTGCGGCCTCACCAGTGCCGAGTACAGGGGTAAAATCCCTTCCTTGTTGGTGCCCCAGGGCCCGTGGCCATGTCCTCCTGCAACCCACCCACTATTTCCCGCTGTCCCCCATCTGCCCTGTCCACGGCCGGAGAGCCCAGCCCACCTGTGTCCACCCCACCATTCCCACCATGTGCGGTGCCAGCGGTGCCACTGCAAGGAAGGTGAAGTGCTGGGCCAGGGTTATCAAAACTAAACCTTTACTGGGAAGGCGGCGCTGCCTGCAGCGGGGCTGGGGTGCAGCCATGGGGGCCCCTCCTGCCCCAGCGCGCTCAGGGGGCCGGGCCCGGCTGCCGTCGCTCCTGCATGGAGAAGGACTGGCTGCGGATGCGGAAGGCCACCTCCTGCGTGCGGAAGGTGAGGCCGAAGATGTCTTCATGGTAGCGGTTCTTGTCCTGGGGGGAGTGAGGCGTCAGGCGGTGTGGCAGGCATAGTGCCAGCATGCTGCGCCTCCCCCTGGCCCTTACCCGCAGCTCGCTGATGAAGTCCCCCGCCTGCCCCAGCGTCATGCCGGCCTGCTGCACCAGGATGTGCTGCACTGTCTGCAGCACCTCAGTGGCCATCGTCACGTCCCCGCAGACGTACATGTGCCCAGCGCTCTGGCACAGCACCCGGTGCACCTCCACCGCCAGCTGTGTCCGCAGCATGTCCTGCACGTAGGTCTGGGGACACCAGAATCATAGAATCATCTAGTTTGGAAAAGACCTTGAAGATCATCCAGTCCAAGCATTAACCTCAAACTAACTGTTCTCAACTCCGCCAGATCCCTCAGCCCTGGGGTGGCCACTGACACTTGGCACGTGACCCCATGTCCCCACCCCGCCCCGTCATACCCCATCCTTGTCCCTGTCCCCACTCTTGCCTCCATCCCTGTCTTTGTGTCCCTATCCCCATCCCTTCCATTTCTGTCCCCACTCTTGTCTCCATCATGCCCCTGTCCTCCGCTCCATCCCAGTCTGTCTCCATTCTTTCCCCACCCCTGTCCTTCCCCTGTCCCGTCCCACCTTGGGGGTCCCCGGCTCGCGGGAGAAGGCGGTGAGGACCTGGCTGAGGGCCCTCTGCTCCTGTGCCTCCTGCATCTCCTGCCGGTAGATGTGGTCCAGCGCGGAGGAGCGGCACCCGAACACCAGCACCATGCTGCCCAGGGGGGCACCTGCGGGGGGGCACCACCTGCAACCTGGACCTGTGGCCCCATGGCCCCGTACCCTGCCTCCCCACTCCCCTATGTCCTTCAGCCCCCCATGTCCCTCTGTCCCCATGTTGCCCTGTCCCGCCATCCCTGTGTCCCCCATCCCTGTGTCCCCCCATCCCCATGTCCCCCTATCCCCATGCCACCCCAGCCTTGTGTCCCCATGTCCCCAGCCTCCATCCCCCTCCCCATGTCCCCACAGCCCTGCAC